TGAAGTTACATGAAGATACCCAACTGAAGATCATGATCTCTAATCACTACATGTTTTAGTTATTGTTACATAGTTATAGATATTAACTTATCTACTTTGTTTAATGGTGACCTGTATAATTATTTTACTTTTGGTTTATGATTTTTTTTATCAGAAATCTTTAAGTGTGTAAAACGTAAATAACATCTTAAGGCCTTTCAACAGCTAGTAAGTTTCACCATTTTTCTTAAGGCCTTTCTGCAGTAAGTATCAATGTTTTTCTTAAAGCCTCTCTACAGTAAATAAGTTTCAATGTTTTCCTTAAGGCCTTTTTACAGTAAATAAGTATCAATGTTTTTCTTAAGGCCTTTCTACAGTAAATAAGTTTCAATGTTTTTCTTAAGGCCTTTTTACAGTAAATAAGTTTCAATGTTTTTCTTAAGGCATTTTTACAGCAAATAAGTTTCAATGTTTTTCTTAAGGCCTTTTTACAGTAAATAAGTATCAATGTTTTTCTTAAGGCCTTTGAACAGTTAGTAAGTTTCACCATTTTTCTTAAGGCCTTTCTGCAGTAAGTATCAATGTTTTTCTTAAAGCCTCTCTACAGTAAATAAGTTTCAATGTTTTCCTTAAGGCCTTTTTACAGTGAATAAGTATCAATGTTTTTCTTAAGGCCTTTCTACAGTAAATAAGTATCAATGTTTTTCTTGGCCTTTCTACAGTATACAAGTATCAATGTTTTTCTTGAGGCCTTTCTACAGTATACAAGTATCAAAGTATTACTTAAGGCCTTTCTACAGTAAATAAGTATCTATTTTTCTTGAGGCCTTTCTACAGTAAATAAGTATCAAAGTATTACTTAAGGCCTTTCTACAGTAAATGAGTATCAATATTCTTGAGGCCTTTCTACAGTATATAAGTATCAATATTTTTCTTGAGGCCTTTCTACAGTAAATAAGTATCAATATTTTTCTTGTGGCCTTTCTACAGTAAATAAGAATCAAATTATTTGTTCAGCTGACAGAAAGTAACAATGTGAAAGCTTTATTGAGATAATAAAGGAATGTTAGTTACTATTTGCTTGAATGACCAACATGAAAGTTAATTAGTCTCTCTGTATTTGCTTGATTGCAGCAGTTTTACTTTTTTTTTAACAAAGTCATGGTTGATATAACTGAAGACTTATATCAACCATTAGGATGTTCAGTTTGTATTAAAGACATAGATAAAGTTTATTTTACATATTTATTTGTGAAACACAAAACTCAGTTCATTCAGTTACCTAAAATCTTACTTTCAGACAGAGCAGTCTTATAAATCAAACCCGAAGTTACTAGCTCAGTTACAGTTCTGTGAAGAGAGAGCCATTCCACTTGCTGTTGTAATTGGTCAATCTGAACTTGAGAAGGGGGTGGTAAAACTTAGATTTGTGGAGACTCGGAAAGAGGTAAGTTAGGAAGGGACAAAGGTTTTTTAGCTCCAAGTGTAAAATGAATAAAGATGAAACGAGTAATAAAATATATAGAAAAAAGTAAACATAAGAAATTTAGTTAAAAAAAAGGACACAAATTAGAGTACAGTAGAACCTCAACATTATGGGCACCCTTCCAACTGTGTCCAAATGCCCTCTATTGCAAAGTTACCTTAATATCAAAGATGAGCCACATAATGCTGGATTCCATATTCACCGTACTGAATTTTTAAGCCCCCCCCCTCCCATTTTGTTTGATGTATGCAGATCATGAGAGTGTGTGAGGTGCACATTGCCAAGACATGGAGCCTTGTCAACAGGAGGTCTCAGGGGGTGGATTAGCTATGCCCTTTTTTCTTTATTATTGGTCACAAAGTTTCGAAGTACCTCTTTTCAGAGTTTGAATTGCTAAACATTTCACATTTATTTTCTGTGTTTATTTTACTGTCAACAACTGAAGTAGAAATACACTGAAAATAACGTAGCAAATAACAGCTTGTGTCATTAGTGTTTAAGTGACACTGTAATACAAACATGCACAGAAATAAGCTGACTTGAACCATGTTATGAGAACAAGTTGTGGCAGGGGTTAACTCCAAAAATGTCTTCATAAGTGCAGGATGAAAAAATTGCCTACGTGCCAATGTAGGTCATTTTAAACAGTGTTATATTATACAATGTAGGAGATTTTAAACAGTGTTATGTTCCACGCTGAAAATACTATTTATCTGCACCTGGGTAGTCTAGTTTATGATAAAAAAAATATTTTTTTTTCCTGAGCAACTTGAATATTTATATAAAAACATCTCTTGATTGGCTTTAAGATTAGTCTGATCACTAACCCTTAGTGTGAAAACTTAACATTTTATTGCCAAAGACAACATACAACTATTGATATTTCTTTTAAAAAGATTTTTAAGTTTATTATTTGATTATTTCGATTGGAATATAATTTCTTTATACAGATATAGCTTTAATTTCAAATACGAAAGTGATTTTTCAAACACAACATATATTTCACTAAACATTCAGGTAATTACGTATGTCATGCATGTTTATAGAAGACTCAAACATAATATTTGTTTCTCACACTCTTAACTACATTTTGGAGAACTTAAACAGCTTTTACAGAAAATGTAGTTAGGCTATTTTGTTCAACATGATGGTGGGCAAAACAAAATATGTGGCTTAGCTAACTAATGAATGAATATTTGCTATCAAATTCTTATCAATGCTATAAGTGTAGCTATTGGTTTGGCTCCCAATTTTGATTTCAATCCTTTGAGTCCCATCTTCAATACTTTTTTTGCTGCACCTTTTTTTCTTACTTAAGGTGTTTTTGATTAGATATCATGATTATTGGTCAATATACACCAACAAATCACAGCAATTAAGAATGTGACATTGGATAGTAACCAACATTAGCTTTGGGATTGCAACCCTATTATTTAAAACAGACCTATACTTTACAGATCCAACCAGATTCTTCAAAATATATGGTGGTAGTTTTCCTTTTAAAATAATGTTAATAATTTCCTTTATAGTATCTCCAAGGAAACTATATTAACAGTTTCTTGTCATCACCCACCTGCACTCGATACGGCTATTTCAAGCATCATTGAGTATGCTAATTGCTTAAGCTAATATTACGTGATGCTAAATGCTTTTAAATTATGAGAATTTCATAAAATTTAGTAACTCTGTGGAAGTTGGCAATGAATAGTGAATACTAACCTCTACCCGTATGATTCTTTTGAAAACTGAGTTAGAAACTGCTAATCTAGTTTGCTTGGCCTAACCAATACTTATGTATCTGCACGTCCTTTCACCCTATAGTTTTGTTGCAATAAATCAGCCATCTTTAATTCGATTAACAAAAACTAAAAATGATCCACTTTTATTCTTAGACCTATAGCTGATGTGACTATGTGTAAGTATGTGCAAAAATATTGGTCAAAAGTAAGTGGTTTTTGTTGACCAACTTTGCAAGTGTGTCTTATATTTAGACCAAATTTGAAAAAATCCATAAAAGTTAAATATGTGTTTCTATCAATACATTTTCTGTACTTGCATTACAAACATTTGGATAAAGTCACAAAATATTAGTTTTTACTGTTGATAAAGAACTATACACTCCCCTGATAGTTACAGGTGCAACAGGCAGTCGGTTAAGACAATTGGCCACCTTCCTGATTCTTGTTTTTCAACCATTTGCTTCATACTTGAAAAACCCAAAATATCTAGTTTATCTCATTCAGAATCAACCAATCAGCAGTCATGTTTGTTGTGCCACAACTAACTTTAAGCTAACTTCTTGGAACTATACATATCAAGACCCAAGTTAGTGTACTGTGCAGCTAAAACAACTTAGAAGACACACTGTGTGTTATTAACAGGAGTGATAGTTTAGCGATTTTACGCTTTCTATGGCTCGGATAATCCAAACTATCACATATTTTCAGTGGATGTGATCTACAGGACTCTTACTTCACATACAAATTTCAAGTCAATCCAGTAAGAAATACACAAGATATAAAATCTCCAATTTTGATTGAATTTATTCCTTTTCTTTTTCTTTAAGTGTTGATACTTGAAACACATTTGATGAAGGAATGTGTACCGAGCCAGGAGGTGATAAATTTTAAGTAATTCAACCACCACAAGGTGGATTTTCTTTATCATAATGCACTTAAAGTTTTTTTTTGAAGGTTGGAAAGTTGATCATTACATGCACAATAAAGATACAATTAGGAACATTTTTTAATAATGACAATTTAGAAAAAAAAATTATTCAGCAACCAGTTTGAAGATTCCTTTCTCTAGGAACAAAGACTTTAAAAAATGCTATCACTTTATTTGACCTTTGGTTGGAATACTTCATGTGGTTTAGTTCAAAATGTGTAGAATGATAACAAAAGTGTTTGATCTAATAGCTGAAGTGAATGAGGAATTTAGGCATTGAAACTCAACAATTTGTTTGTCTCTCACAATGGTCACGTAACGTTATGTATCAATCATGTACTAGCCAGAAGGTCAGTCCCCAATTCTTGTGTTTCACTCATTCAAATAAAAAATGGAAAAGAGATTGTGATTTTTTTTGAATGGCACATTTATAGATAACTTCAACAATTTCAAATTTAATGAAGATTCATTGTACATTCTCTGTAGTTGTTACAATTTTTAAGGTTAAACTGTCATTAATAATATACAATGACATTGTCAACTTTACTGTTCATAGTTGGAATCTAGCCAATTGTATGCT